TTCAGGGGTTCAAGGTTTCAGGGTTTCAGGGTTTCGGGGTTTCAGGGGTTGAGGGGTTCAGGGGTTCAGGGTTTAGGGTTCAGGGTTTAGGGTTTAGGGTTTAGGGTTTAGGCACGAGGGTTTCTCCGGAAAGCCCTGAACACCTAAGCCGATCCTTCCTCTCACAACGCTGAGGCTCAATGACCTGGACCAGCTCATTCCGGAAGACTTGAGGCCTGGGCCAAGTGGCTTACGGGGTATCATAAGGAGTTTAGGGTTTAGGGTTTGGGGTTTAGGGTTTAGGGTTTAGGGTTTAGGGTTTAGGGTTCAGGGTTTAGGGTTTAGGGTTTAGGGACCCCCTCGAAGGGACCCTTTTTTCTTATCCCCCTTTATAATTAATCCCCTCAAAAAGTATAATTATAATCCCTATAAACCTAAGTAGCCCCTAAATAGCCCCTAAAGAGCCCCTAAGGTCCCTTATAAGGGTCCGTCCTTTAGTCCCCTGCAAGGCAGTTCGGTTTGGGGATTCAGGGTTTAGGGTCGCGGAACCCGAAACCCTAAACCTACACCCCGAAACCCTTTGCTTTTTATATGAGGCCGACACTGACACTTAATGTCCTTGTCCTGAGACCACCACTCTACATCCCCAAACCCTAAACCCCAAACCCTAAACCATCGTCGACTGGATGACGACAGGCGCACACGGTGAAGCTGAGCGATGTTCGACCCACCGCTGAGTGGCCGGACCATGCCAAGCAGATAGAGCAGCTGCAATCGCCTGCTGCGTTCGGCCCGGGCGTGACCATGTCGCAGCTGCAGAACGAGAAGCCCATGACTGGCGCACAGCTCCGCGACTCGCTGAAGGGCAAAGGCCCCAAACCCTAAACCCCAAACCCCAAACTCCAAACCCCAAACCCCAAGCCCTAAACCCAAAACCCTAAACCCTAAACCCAAAACCCTAAACCCTATAAACCCTAAACCCTAAACCATGGCAGTCCTGGATCATCCTTTAAGCTTCTGGGCTGCAGGGCTCTAGGCTGTAGGGCTTGAGGTCTTTCGGGTTTAGAGGGGCAGGGTACAGGGTTCAGGGTTCAGGGTTCAGGGTTTAGGGTTTAGGGTAGGGTTTAGGGTTTTGGGTTTAGGGTTTAGGGCTTAGGGTTTAGTGTTTAGGGACTCAGGGGTCTAGGGCTTTGGGGCTTTGGAGGGCTTTTAGGGCTTTCGGGTGTTAGGATTAGGGTCTTAGGACTGTCAGTGGAGGGCCCATGCTGGTGCTTGGAGCTCACACCATGGTGGAGTACGGAAGCCGGACACAAGTCTAGATTCGTCCTCCTTTTTGGGTTAAGGGCATTGGGGCTTCGGATCAAGGTCTCTTCAGAAGAGTCTCCGAAGTATTCTACCAAAGCAGCAAAGGTTTTGGAGTTCTTGATGTAGATCTCGACCAAGCCAGCAGACGCTGACCAGGTTCGTCATACCGAAGCAGTTCTTCTTCACCTACAGCGCTCGGGCATGCACTTAAGGGCTGAGGGGTTTAGGGCCTCCTTAAAGCCTTAGGGAACGCAGTAAGTAGGATTGTCCCTTAAACCCTTAAACCCTTGAACCCTTGAGCCCTTGAGCCCTGAGCCCTTGAAACCTTAAACCCTTCAACCCTTCAACCCTTGAACCCTTCAACCCTTCAACCCTTCAACCCTTCAACCCGTCAACCCTTCAACCCTTCAACCCTTAAACCCTTGAACCCTTGAACCCTTGAACCCTTAAGCCCTTAAACCCTTAAACCCTTGAACCCTTAAACCCTTAAACCCTTAAACCCTTAACCCGGTTTCAGGGCGCCTGAAAGCCCCTGATTCACTCCGTTCGCGAGACCCCAAAAATGGATTTGGGATTCAAGGCTTGGGCTTAGTTCTCTTGGGGAGATTCAGGGTTTGTGTCCCCAACTGGCCCTAAACCCGAAACCCTAAACCTTAAACCTTAAACCCTGAACCCTAAACCCCAAACCTCAAACCCTAAACCCTAAACTCTAAACCCCAAGCTCAAAAACCCTGGTGTTCGTGAGCCGAGGTACCCGGGAGAAGGCCATGACGGAGATCCTTGGCCCCCACCGGCCCGAGCGGGAGAGTGGAGGTCTCCTCGAGGCGGGTCGTAGAGGGTTTAGGGTTTCAGGTTTAAAGTTTAGGCTTTAGGGTTTAGGGTTTAGAGCCTGGTGTCGCAAGTTGTTGTTTTTGTTGTTTTGGGGGGCGGGGGGGGGGGGGGGGGGGGGGTTTTTGGCGGGGTTCTGGCGGTTTGGGTTTTTTTTTGGGGTTTAACTAGGGGTGTAGGATGCAGGGATTAGGTTTAGGACCTCGCTCCAGATTGGACTACGTGGGTGTAGGGAACATTTGCTCATACTTCCAATATGGCACGAAGCCCTCGACACTTACCCCGACATAAACCTGGGCACCCCTAAACTCCCTGGCAACTCTATAAACCCAGTAGACAGAAAACCCAATAAACCCAATAAACCCTATACATCCTCAGCCCGCCTAGACCCTAATCTCCGAAACCCACAAACTGCAAAACCACACACACAGACACACACCAACACACCAACACACACCAACACACACCAACACACACCAACACACACCAACACACACCAACACACACCAACACACACCAACACACACCAACACACACCAAAACACACCAACACACACCAACACACACCAACACACACCAACACACACCAACACACACCAACACACACCAACACACACCAACACACACCAACACACACCAACACACACCAACACACACCAACACACACCAACACACACCAACACACACCAACACACGCCAACACACACCAACACACACCAACACACACCAACACACACCAACACACACCAACACACACCAACACACACCAACACACACCAACACACACAAACACACACACACACACACACACACACACACACACACACACACACACACACACACACACACACACACACACACACACACCCACACACACCCACACACACCAACACACACCAACACACACCAACACACACCAACACACACCAACACACACCAACACACACCAACACACACCAACACACACCAACACACCACAACACACACCAACACACACCAACACACACCAACACACACCAACACACACCAACACACACCAACACACACACACACACACCACACACACCACACACACCACAACAACCACCCAACACACACCACACACACCACACACCCAACACACACCAACACACACCACACACACCAACACACACCACACACACCAACACACCAACACACCCAACACACACCAAACACACCAACCACACACACAACCAACACACACCAACACACACCAACACACCAACACACACCAACACACACCAACACACACCAACACACACCAACACACACCAACACACACCAACACACACCAACACACACCAACACACACCAACACACACCAACACACCCCAACACACACCAACACACACCAACACACACCAACACACACCAACACACACCAACACACACCAACACACACCAACACACACCAACCCACACCAACACACACCAACACACACCAACACACACCAACACACACCAACACACACCAACACACACCAACACACACCAACACACACCAACACACACCAACACACACCACACCACACACACACACACACACACACACACACACACACACACACACACACACACCACACACACACACACACACACACACACACACACACACACACACACACACACACACACACACACACACACACACACACACACACACACACACACACACACACACACACACACACAACACACACACACACACACACACACACACACACACACACACACACACACACACACACACACACACACACACACACACACACACACACACACACACAATTGTTTGTGTTAAAAACACGCAAGCGAATGAGCATGCTCTGCTCCGAGTGCGTCCACGTTATCTGGGCCTTTGTCGCATCTTGACGCAAATGTCTTCCGCGCGGGATTCGGGTTGTGCGAGTGCGAGCAGGACACGCCTGAACGAAGTGGACACAGTGCGCAGAAGTGAGCAAAAGCGACCCAAAGAGAGCAAGTCGAAAAGAGCAGAGGCCCAGGCCTCAAACCGTCGACGTCACGTCCTTGGATAGAGAGCGTCGAGAAGTGAAGATTATGGCCAACTTAAAATTGCCTGGATTGTCCAAGTCGGTTTGTTATTGGTTTTTGTGGTTCAGTGATGAAGTTTCTTCAATTTTCCTTGTCACTCCTGAGCATGCCATATATGCACGGCAATGTGGGCTTCCGTTCAGCTAGCATCCGAAATCCTAAACCTCAAAGCCTCAAAACCCAAACCCTAAACCCGAAACCCTAAACCCTAAACCCTAAACCCTAAACCAGAAGCTTGGGGTCGGTTTTTAGTGCTTAATCAGGATGCAGCGGGTGGCCTCTGAGATACGGACATGCAGGATTAACATGAAACTTTTTGGTCAGAATGTCGTGGAGAGTCTTGTCCCGGCAGTGCGCCGTTCAGGCAGCTGTGTGGGTGGCAAAAAAAACCCCTAAACCCTAAACCCGAAACAAAAAAGCCCAAAATGACTCCGCAAGGGATGCCAGAGCGTCGGCCGAGGGGTTTGGGGGAGGGTGCAGGGCTTGGGGATTTTATTTTGCCAGTCTTAGGTTTAGGGTTGAGGGTTGAGGGTTGAGAGTTTAGGGTTCAGGGTCCACAGGAGCCCTGAAGCAAAAGGGTTTAGGGTTAGGCAGCTGTGTCCGAGCGCTGTGCCCGCTGCAGGTCGTACTCTACATGGCCTCCCTCTTTGCCGGCCAAGACGTTGACACGGCGAGCCTCGCCCAAGCAACTGCGCTCCTTGGGGACGAAATGAACCCTGAGATTGGGGTCATTTATTCTGACTACTATAATTCCTGAACCATAAACCCTTTTAGGGTTCATTTCGTCCCCAAGGCTCTGTCTATACTTCATACTAATGATGGTCGTTGCAGTCGCCGCCACCATGCTGTATGGACTTGGCCTCTACCTTCTCCGCAAGAATCGGAAGCCATGGGGCTTCTTCATCTCCCATCACAAGCGCGTGGCCGGTAGCTTTGCACGACTTCTGAAGATCCAGCTGCAGCAGCGGGGGTCCGCCTTCAATGCCTTCTTGGACACCGACAACCTGCGAGATCTCAAGGAGCTTTTCGGGTTTGTCAGAGACACCGAGACCTTCGTCATCTTGGCAAGTCCGGGAATTTTGGGACGGAAGTGGTGCGTTGGTGAGATCACGACCGCCAACTTGCACAATGTGCCCGCAGCTCCCATTAGCCTTCGTCTTGTTGTGCTATGCTTTGTATGCAACGTCAAACTTTGTTGACGTGGGTAGGGAGTGGCTTGTGATCTTGTGGAATTCTCACAGGTTCGCAGCGTGATGGTAAGATGGCCACATTTCGTGGACCCAAACGAAAACATGCACGAGAACCTCTCATTCGCCATTCCCGGCATTGAGGCCCTGACAGCTTACAGCATCTCCCTCCATGATGTCTCGAAGGCCACCTTGTAGCCCAGGTGGTACCCTTTACCCTTTTTTTGGTTCAAGGTTCCCTTGTAACAGTTCCCAACGAAAAAGGGTTTAGGGTTTAGGGTTTCTTAGAACTATGTGGTTGCTGTAAAGAAGGCCTTGCACTGGATGAAGACCCTGCAGTCCATCGCCTTTCCCATTGCGCTGGACTTGGGGAGTGCCCGGGCGGCGGGTTTAGGGTTTAGGGTTTAGAAGGCCAAGGCCCACAATCCCCGCGAAAGAATGTGAACTCGGAAGAGTTGATAGAGGGGGCTACCCGATGTTCGTTGGGTTTCCAAGAAGAGTGATCCTTAAACAGTTAGCAGAAGAATAAGTATGATGTAATCACATTTCATAAGAGTTTATGGAATGTAATTCTATTTTGACTACAACCTTTGAAACCAAACCTAGTAAAATCTATGAGAGAACCTTTGCCCATTTCGGGATGATAATACCACCTTAGGGAATATGGATGGGGTAATTGGTTATTCCTATACTGGTCGTGGTAATGGGGTAGTAGTGGTGATATTTGGGGGAAGTGTCAGGGAGGAAAGGAATAATCCTCTTATATGGATGAGGTAATCGGTTATTCTTTTACTGGAACTGGTAATGGGGTAGTAGTAGTGATATAGTTGGTGAGGTGTAGGGGGGAGTATAGGAATAATCGACTGGTGGTATTATTGCCCAAAATGGGCAAGGGTTCTGCTAACTTAAACTGCGGGGAGGGTTATGAGGGGGTGCCGGTGTATGACCCAATGCGACCCAAGAACATCCCAAGGTATGGGCAAGATCTGCGATGCGCTGACCGGAACAGTGTCGCCACCTCCCGAAAGGGCAGCTTGCCCAGACTGCGCCATTCTCGCAGATCCTGGAAATCACGAGGCGGTGGCAACTGCACACGTGCTTTCGGAGCTTTTGAAGTCGAATAAAGAAGTTCGATTGTCGCCAGTGGTGCTTAAGGCAGCTGAGGGCATTCCGGACGATGCTTCAAAAGCACTGCTCATTTGCTCTTCCGGGTGCTTCCATTCAAAGGCTCTTGCATCGTGGCTGATAGAGCTTTCAACGTTGCAGCTGCCCATCCTGCCCATTCTGGCAGAGCCTGATTTCATACTGCCGACAGAGCCCTATGAGAATGCAGTGGCTGGGGTCGCGGAGATGTTCACCGACGCAGAAATGGCCACCTATGCTGACATGTTGGGAATGATCTTCCAGGAGATTGCAAGCGTTTTGGCACCGCAATCATACGCCAGCACGCAAGACGCTTGGGTCTGCTACAAAAGGTTTTCGTGCATTGCAAGTGCCAAGGGCCGCCAATACGTTGTAGACGTATAATTATGTTGCCAAGGGTCTTCAAGGGTCCCGAAGCAACGAAGGAAGATCTGGAGCTGCGAGTGAAGCAAATAGCGTTCCGCTTGCGGTCGAAGAGCACTTGGGCGTGGACGGACCTGGTGGTGCGTCGCGAGTCTGAGCCCTTTGAGGATGTATTCCGTGTTTAA